CAAGTGTTTCTTGATCGGATGATTACTATTTTATTCGATGGTGAATTGAGGATAAACATCTCTGCCTTCCGCCTGGGCAGGAAGCAAGAGGATTCTTCTAAGGTACGCCCCCTCAAGATTGTATGCCAGAGCGAAGAGAAATGCCGACGCATTTTCCTGGAAACCCCACGTTTAAAAGGTATTTTTACCTCCTGAGAGGTCTTTCTTCGGAAGATCGGTTTACAATGAAAACAGTCGTTGATGAGCTCCGATCCCGCCGAGCGAATGGTGAAACAGACCTCCACATCGTGCATTTCCGCGTAATCCAGAGCACCCCGAGAAACTGTTGGAGGCCAATTCTCGTCAACCTAGGACAGTAGAGCATGAGAACGGACTGCGTGTACTTTTCGCCAATGTACGCAGTCTGAGAAATAAACATGCTTACATTCGGATGATTGCTTCAGTTTTTCCCTAGACCCGATGACCTTCACCGAAACTTGGCTGTTTGCACACATCATAGCTTCAGAGGTTTCTATCCCCGGATACAGTCTCTCGAGCCGGCCACCTTGGAGGAAGGCCCGGTGGCGGCGTCATACTTTACTGGAAGTCCGATCTCAAGGACCATTTTGTTGTGGTGCCGCTGAATGTACAGCTAACCTGCTGCTACCGTGCAGCTGACCGTCGCCAGAAATGTGTTGTGGTTTCCGCTGACTTTACGGATAACCTGCCTCAATCTGCTGTGCCGCCCCCAACCATTTCAATCCCGCAACGAAGTGAGAATGCCAAGATCAGCCGCATTGATCCTGATTCTATTGCATGAGAGCATAGCGCAATAAATAGGTTGTAGGAAACCACTAACACAACAAAACTGGAGGTGCTAATTAATAGTAATTAACACAAATCAAACGGTTCAAATTCATGGTCTAACTTGCCGTTGATTTCACATGGGTCGCATTTTGATCTTTACTCGCGTTCAATCTCTAATGGTAGATTGATCCATTGTTGCCTCACTGCTCTCGGCCTGAACACTGACTCTGCAACACACTTGGTTGCAGCTACTAGTGACGACGATAGTGATTTTGATGCCCTTTGGTGTCGTATTCATGATGGATGCGGATTCTCCACGATTGATGTCGTCTACAAAGCGCCATCGGGATCCGAAGCTCACTCGCTCGATTCGATCAGGAAACGGTGCAGGAAAGGACAGTCTTATCGTGGAGGATTTTAATGCCCTTATGTCGATTGGAACTTGTTACTTTGTGGTCGTCCACCTGATTCCTTCGATGCTACCTTACTTGCGACCGATATCGATTGTACTTTGTTTCCGCACGTCACCATGCCAACCCGCATAGTTGCCGACCAGACGCCGAACATTTTTTACTTTGTGCTCACCCCACTTCAGTCGGATGTCACGAATCAAACAGTTCTTCAACCCATAGGCAAAAGGGATCATTGTCTCGTTTCATTCCAATGGACACGTCGCCTCATGATCCATAGCAAGGGTGATTGCCGTCGGAACTTTTAGCGTGCCGATCCACTCCGTCAGAGAACAGCCGCAAGCGCTATGGACTAGAGTATTTCTTATCCCATTTATTTCGACGATGCGTGGAACCTTGTGCTCTCCGAAATGACGTCCATAATTGGGCAGATCGTTCCTTTCTCCCGTAGCAAGTCCTTCAGAAGTGGTCCATCTTGGATTGACAGTGAATTGAGATCCCTGATGAACAGAAGGCGCAGGTTGTGAGATCGTTTCAGTCAATCTCAAACAGAGTCCGCTTACTCACCCTACAAGACTATCAGGAATATTTGTGTCGCCTTGAAACGTCAGAAACGACGACAATATGAACTATCATTAGCGGAACACTCCAGAACGACACCCAAAATGCTTTTCTCCTGACTTAAAAAAGCACCAGGACCGGCAGTGGCATCCCTACCTTGTGTTCATTTGAGCATCGGAGTTTACTTTACGAAGACGCTGATAAAGACAGTCAGCGCAACAGTACGCCCTTATCTTCGCGAAAGAAACTCCTTCCTGTGTCAACGCTGTCCAATTTTTCTTATCTGTTGAATCAAGTAGACATTAACCACTTCTGTGGTTAAACTTCTCCTTGATTTAGATCCGCACTCTTCACCCGACCCGGATAAGTTGCAACCCTTGTTCCTTAGGACTGTGGCGGAGTACATCGCCCCGCCTATCTGGCATGTTTTCCGTCATTCCTTTGAAGCTGGGCGTCTCCCGTCGGCTTGGGAAGTGGGCATTGTCAAACCCATATGTAAAGGAAGGAACAAGCAAGATCCAGCCAGCTATGGCCCAATCTGATTAACGTCGATAGTGTGTAAAGTTATAGAGCGGATTTTGAATCAGGTTCTTCATCTCTTCCTCGAGGAACTGAATGTCTTCTCTTATACACAGCGTGGTTTTCGAAGGGCACGCTCATGTACCTCGAACTTACTGGCTCCTTAGGAGAAATGGGCGAAGTCGCTAGATTCCAGTAAATGCCTGGACGTTGTTTTGTTGATTTCAGCAAAGCTTTCGACAGGGTCCCGCACGAATGACTTTTGCTTAAACTCTGAGGAATCGGTATCGCGGGAATCTTCTCTCCTGAATCTGACTTCACAAGCGCACGATATAGGTGTAAGTAAACGAAACATTTTCCGCTCCTTTTCTCATGACTAATAGGGTCCCACAGGGTTCTGTTCTCTTCCCCGTGGTTTTCAGTGTTTTTATCAATGGCTTTCCTTCCGCACTCCAGGCGCATTGCCTACTCTACGCCGACGATCTAAAGCTTTGGATGGAGGTATCCAGTATAGAAGATGCTGTAGGTTACCATCGACGCTCGATCTGCTATATGATTGGTCAGTTAGGTGCCAGTTGCAAGTGACTCGTGAGAAATGTTCGGTTCTTCTAGTTGGTGTGTTTGACCCATTTGGAATCTACCATATTGATGTTTCCTTGCTCAGAAACGCCACTCAGGAGAGGGATCTAATCAAGATACCAATAAAAAGGGCGCTGCGTTCTACTGGATGTTTCATTCTATACGTAGAGCCTTCTCTCGCCTGACCCTGAGGATTTACGGACTCCTGTTTCCTTCACATGTACGCCCGCTTCTCTACTATGGGCTACCTGCCGCCTGCCCTCTTACGAAAATCGGATTTGATATGGTTGAGAAGGCTCAATGGCGTGGATCCAAATCCGTTCTGGAGCTGCGGGACCTGTCCTATTCTCTCCGACTCAAATAACAGCTCTTCCTTTGGATTACCATCGTCATCGCAGAGATTTACTCTTCACCCGACGTATTCTTAGAGAAGAATTGGGGAGGGAATTGCAGTACTTCTTTCATTTCAACACAGAGTTCAACAAGAGACCACAGTTTGCAACTGTTCAAAACGAGGAGTCATCTAGTGCGATTCAGCTTGGCTTTATCCACTCACATCGTGAATGGCTGGAACTGCCTTCCGGAGTCCATCATCGGTACCGAAACCGAGGAATTTTCGAGCATTTGTTGGATTCTCATTTTAATTTGCAAGGATCAAGCTGTTTCCAATGCAGCTTCAGTGGTTCTCTGTGGGATCTTGTTTCGCATTGACCCAGGTCATCTCCGCAACGATCGAGATGTGACTGACCTGACAAAGAACTTTCCTTCTGCTCTCTATCATCCAATGATGAGCCAACCGTCTCACGGTTTCACGCCATTCATCTAGTCGCCTTGCGCTCGGTCCTCTATCGGCAGCTGTGATAGTAACGCTCAGCTAACCACGAGATGTGACACAAACACACCATCCATCCAACTCCGACACTTACTAAGTGGTTTCCCATCCTTTCACCCCCCCTTCGGTCCAATACGACCCGGACACAGAAGCCCTCAGAACCCTTGACCGGACTCATATGACAGTGCAATAAATCGCTCCCTACCACAACTCTACACCACTGCATCTATCCTTGGGGGAATGGGATGCACTTGCCTATCAGATTAAGTTTTTCTGAACTATTGTACGGAAACTGCAGCTTAAATGAATGAGACGTAGCACTTCCGGATTGTGTACTTAATTTTCTGTCAAACGTCCACAAACAAGCAAGCCGTTCTTTTCTTAACTTTGGCCTCTGAGAAGGCAATGCGATTACTCTTCCATCTGATAACACAACTGTTCTCTTTCGACCCATTATTGTTAACTAAATGTATAACGTTTTACTCTACATCTGCCGGCTGGCTTGAACTCACTATGTCAGCAGTACACCAACAGTGCACACATTCCCCGCTGTCTGCAGCCGCAAGCGATTTGACGTTAACTGTGATACACAACCTCTTTTGGTTGCATAACACCGGTGCAGCAGGTAGAGTACTACGAGTATGAAGCTCTAGAAGCATCTCTGCAGCCGGTACAATCGGTGTCTACACTTTCTAGCGCTTGTATCTGAAACCACACAGGGAATGGTCCGGCTCCTTCGTGGTGAATAGAGTAATTGGTGGCTTTCCCATAGATTTTGCACTTGTAGCCTGCAACTATAACGCCAGTCTCGGAGAACCACTCAACACCCTCATTTTCCTTGCAGACGGGGAATACATACATTCAAGTGCTGCTAGTTTTAATCGTTTCAAATTTTCCATTATGAAATCCCATAGTAATGATCATTCCACCAGCGAAACGTTAAAGCTGTATGCTATTGAATGCGCGGAACTAACGACAGCGCCGACACAAGGCATGCCAGCAGCAAATCGGCACTATGAACACTGGTACCTGAACATCAGTACTCTGTAGTTATCCCCTTATTTTTCTGCTCTCACACATACGTCATTTGGTGAGATTCGTACCACTTCGACGAACCTTGCACACGCTGTAGATTGTCACCAATTCCTTCATAAGGTAAGGCCGTCGCTGCCATGTGCATTTTTCTTTTTCGGTATACTTGTGTACTTTTTTGGTCCAATTTCATTCTTGCTTGTTAACTCATCGCACTCTTCCTCGGCTCACCTTCGTAATGAGCTTGTCGTTGTTTTCACACGATTCAACTGTTTTACTTTTGCAGCTCCGTGGAACATCTCTAACTCGAGTCACCGCACATTGCACCGCGGTGGGACTCCCGCTTACCGCTTGTCCGTTCCTAACTCCGACATGAGTGGCAAAGTCTCACAGGCTGTGATCATATCTCGCAGGAATATCGCATGCGTTGCCAGGTCAATTAAAATAAATTCTATGTTCATTTACGTAGTCTTTTGATAGAAACGGTCTGCAATTTGCCCCGGCCACAACTCGACGAATCCTGCGGCGAAGTCACTGACTTGCTCTGTGTCCTACATCATGTATTCTTCCATGGTTTCAAATGTAATTTCTGTCTCGCTTTATGTTTATCCAGTCAGATAAATGGTCAAAGCTGACGAAGTCGGTCCATCCGTGGCGTTTTATCGCCACTTATTCTTCGCAGGATCGTAGCGGATGTATTGAATTAGTGCATTTATTGGAGGACTTGCACGATGATTCTGCCAAGGTGCGTCATCTCATTCTTCTCTATTTCTTCCGTCCACAGTTGCTTGCTTGGATTAAGACATTATTGCTCAAGCGTTGCATTATTTACGGTTTCGATTTTGTTCGATGTACTTGCAGTGCTCTCAAGTGAGTTAACATAAACATACTTATGCCCCATTCCCTCGTACACACTGCATTACGTTTCGATATTCAGCTGAAAATTCGTCTCTTGCATACCCATTGATCTCTCTTCAGGTCACCTCATTCGACTAACTATAATATGAGCACCGAATTGAAGTGGATACAGCCATTTCAACTCGGGTCTGCATGATAATAACGATTAACAATGGGGAATTGGTGAGAATACAGGATAAGACCGAGCGGAGAGTTGAAACAGATGAGCACAGCCAAACAGATTTGGTTGTTAGCAGCTGGACACGTAAGACCGAACGCGGGAGCGTTGTTGACCCTGTGACTACGTCTGGTCGGATGTGGCTGATCTCTAGGTCCCCTATTTAGAGCATCGTTTGCTTTAATCCGTGTCAACTGTTTATGACTTCTTACCATGTCGTCGGCTTCTCACATGACAGTTTCACGCAGCCAATCACAGCGACGCAGAATACATGCAGAGACAAATTTCTAACAGGCATAAAAAGAAAGGCCTAGCCAGCCTAAGTCTACAGATTTCCTAGTGCAGTATCATACCATCTGCTCACCAGGTATGACCGATACTTCGCAACTAGTGGCAGTCAAAATGACTAGTTTCCTCAACGCTAAGGGACAGTATCTTCCATTCGTACACTAACAATAACCGTATCCCAAGGCTATACACACTACTTTTTACTGGAATTTGTTATGGGGACCGAACCTCCCCACAGGACGTTTTGATCAGCTACACACGCAAGCAACAGTTCCGGCTAAGCCCCATCCATTATCGACACTCAATCCGATTACCTTCTGTTATTGACCTTTGACACTTTGCTAATTCGCTCACTTTCAATTATCAATATTGATTTTCCGTTAATGGCCCAAAGGCCAATTTACTTAATTAGACTTTGCTTACCTTAGAACCTCATTTCAACAATCGTTGTATTTAAGCAAGGGTGGGTTGCGCTGTAGTTGCCTGTTCTGGCGAGTAATGGCTGGGGCGAAGGGTCTGTCTTTTGTTCTCATCTCTCTGGGTGGGAATCGCGTGTGAAGTCTGTGCTCAGTCTAGGAGAACGTTACAACTGTGCGCATGGGAGCATGTTGTGCCCAAGTCTCCCGGGTTGTGCGAAATCCAATTCTGCCAGCTACTTTCAGTGCGGGATACCATTCTGTCTCACGTTTATTCATTTCACTAGAAGCGTCTTACCAATTCGTATTGCACACTGTATGTTCAGGGATCCCGTTATAACATAATTGATGTCTTGTCGTACCGTAGATGCCGATGTCTTACAAAATCACTAGCCTCACCAATACATGAGTTGAACACTAGATAACCAATTCAACTGACCGTGTCGGGTATCTGTTACATGGTAGGATGGGCGCTATTTCAGCCCAGTTCTGCAACGGTGCCTAGCAGTTTGGATGTATGAATGGCGCTAATGCGTGTCTAGAGTCGCTTTTCCAGATCCTCGCCAAGGGTTGTCAATCGTGTAGCGTGAGTTTATGACTCAGTCACTAGACATTACTTCCTTTCCAAAGAAGGCTGTGATAGCCAAATCATTTATGCTCGCTTCAATGATAAAGTTGGCGAAGAAATGACATTAAGGGCTGAGATAGCACATCGCACTTGTGGTGAGCTCAGGAGAACGCTTCTTGAGTTGTGACAGTTTTCTGGTTAGCAAAGCCTTTTTCTGCATCGTTCTTCAGTGCTTGGCAATGTGATACATTGATGCGATCAATTGTAACAAAGGTGCACTCCATCTCAATACCACTATGGCTATTCATCTGTATGTGAATTCCAGTTTCACCATTTGGCAGTGTGTAAAAATGCGGGTAATACCTCTACCACTTTGTAGACCACATTGGATTCTGTTACTTTGGCTCTCATGACAACCGTTTCACCGTCACAAGTAACAAGAATAGGCTTAGCGTTCTGCGACTTCTTTTACAGATGGAGATAGTGATTGAAAGTCACCACACCGAGGCGCCTTCTTCCATGCTTGGCTGAACAAAGTAGCTAATGTGTTTGCCGATTGTTCTTTCATTTAGCTACAATGGCAAAACGTTGCCGCTGTCAGATAGCCAACATACATCTGGACATGCGCTAGACGTCCGCACCGTCTCTTCGGGCTTGTGAGTAATTTACATCTATGCAATGCTGTTGGATCTCATTCCCTGACGTCTGACCCTGCAAGCCAACGAAATAGGTCGCAAAACTGTGAGTTGCCACCATGTAGCACGCCTCATCCTTCACGGCCATGCGTGTTACTATCGTCATCATTCATCCTTATACAACTTAGCTATAGGCGAAGATCACATCAGCTACTGTTCCGCAGTACATAAGCAAAAAAGGAAAAAAATAAACAATAGGTGCACGCCAGCTGAGTTACCAAAAACGGCTGGGCGTCGTTCCGGAAGGCTGTCAGCCCGTAACTATGCAGTAAAAATATTTATTGTGCAAAATATATGTTGTCCTAAGCAATGAGATCGCGGTTAAAGGGGGACGCTAAGAAGGATGGGAAGCGACAAAAGAACTCAGCACGTACACCACTGAGGTTGGCTCCTAACCATGTCAGCAAGTGTTTCCAGCCAAACGTATTCATCCTCTTTCGGATCCCAACCAGAGTGCCGAAAGTTCCTACCAAGGCGAAAGTCGAAGTAAGGGCCTTAATTACTCTCTACCAAGTCATCGCTTGGCCACCTCTCTTGTTTTTCCGTTTACACCCGCGGCGCGCAAACAACGCACGTCGTCGGAGTCGGTGGGCTGGCATGCGCAACACGTGGCTGAGCCATCGGAGCCAGTTGCGTGAAATAACGCTGCTGAGCGATTCGTTTCCTCTTCCTATGCCATAAACAAGGCGTCGCTCACGCGGTGTTCCAACCAGGTGTAAGCCAAACTGGGAAGGCACCGGTGATCGAACGCAACTAACCTCCTTATGTCTGCTGATCTAATGGGCCAGGTATCACAACCGTAAAGGAGTTGAACGGATGGCTCCATTGTACTTTCTACCCTTTAGAGTCATGTCGCACCGGCGCCATTGGTGGCGACGGTTAGCAAAAGCACGATACACTTTTGATATACGATTTGTCATCTGGTCTTCGATCCTAAGGGCGCTGATGCAACATTTGATCCCCACACGATGCTGCCGTGCAGAAGGTAACGCCGTCCCAAAAGCACAACTTTCTTCGCTATGCTGCCGTTCATCTTGTGGCATTAAGTATTAACTCGGGCAGTTACTTATTACACTGCTCTACGTAACTTTTTTACAATTTATATATATATATATATATATATATATATATACGGATTAAATATAATCCTACATGCGGCGTTGTATTAGCAACTTCATCCAACATGGCCACACACATGGTTGGCCGCATCTCTTTCCAGATTTACCTGTCACTGCGGCCTCCACAGGCATAGCCAAAGGCCGCGTGCCCATACACATGGACCATAGGTGACTTGCGTTGCATCCTCCCCTCTCAAGCTGCATCCACACACCCCATATCCAGTGTAAGCCGGAAGAAATAAGGATGGGAAGCATGTGGATTGGGAGCCACGTTTTATCAACGGAGCCGGCCCACTGCTTCACCAAACAGAGCAGAGGCATTCATACCTAACTAGGGAGCCATGCGTATCAGAGGAACACAAGGCGGTGGCTGGCCTTAGTCCACTCCACACTAGATGGAACCACTTTTTGAGCCTAAACGGCTACGCGGACCGTGCATCCCGTTCCCCCAGCAAGGGTTCACAGTCGCCTGGAGCCAGCAATCAATATGGTGGATAATATACGGCTCGGCATCTTGTCAACGTTCACATCCGGCGCAGCTACAAGGAGGGTGTCAAGCAATAACCAATCACTTGAACTGACCGTATCGATTGAAATACAGAATGGAGCATATGGATATACCGACATAACTCTTTACTAAATTAGCATATAGAATGAATGAGTTATCATCAAAACCGCGGTAAGTTCAAGATGTGGGACAGCTAGAAAAAATGCAACGGACGCGAAAAATATTAACGAAGCTAACCACCTTTCGTATAAGCGATGTGTGCAACTAAATGAAAAACTTTTCGGGTATACATTAAAATGGGGCAACGAAATAAGCGTTAATACAATAAAGTAAACCATTCACCTGAAATAAAGCAACTCAGCACCCAAGCGCGCGGTTTGTAAATGGAATGGAAGCGCATGCAGCATACCTACTAACACTGCGCCGATTCTGCTTACGTTCTTAGCAGTACCCGTCATCTTTTTGATGCTTGTCCTGAGTGGCGTCGCTTGTGGCTACTAGGCCTGCCTGACTCAGGCACTCGCGAGCCCACGTACTACAGCACTACGCGCTCGACGTTGATGGAGTACACTCCATTGGCGCTTGTCACTTTCACACCTGCCGCTTCTTCGCATGCACGAGAGCTTTCTCCTGCATCTCGACAAGTGCCTTCGTGATCGGATAACGCCCTGCACGCCGATCAACGGTCGTCGATTCCCAACACCTGAAATCAACATTAGCATGTGATAGACTCACCTTGTTCATGTCTTGGTAACGAAGCTTCGGTTTCCTCACATGCCGCTTCCCCACAACCAGCTGACCCTATAACACCTGCTTCGGTATCCGCGTCGTATCCATACTACTCACACGACCGAACCACCTCAAGTGTCTCAGCAAAAGTATACAGTCTACTGCATACATTCCACTTCGGCGCAACACCGTGCCTGCAACTCTGTCGCACCAACCGACGCGCAGAATCCGTCGCAAACACTGTTGATGCAACTGTTCGAGATATCTCACCTCTCGCCGGTACATCGTCCAAGTTTCGCTGCCGTATGGAAGAACGGACAGCACCATGGATTTGTAGACCATCAGCTTCGTGCCAACGGTAAGCTGGTCGTTGTTCTACACTCTACTCAAGATTCCCGTATGCCGCCGTTGCCTTTGATATACAGATACAAAGCTCGCTGTGTATTTGCTGATCTGTCGAAACCACACCCCCA